TCTTCAGTCCGACGGATCGCCTGGAACGAGCTCAGGGCCACCACTGTTCGGGAGAATTTCTAACCGAGGGGCTTTTGGGGTTTGGGCTTAGGTTTCGGGGACTTCTGAAAAGCTTAGGATCTTGGGTTGCGGGCGTGACTTCCGATTCGTGAACCTCCGACGGTTCGAAAACCAATGCCAGGCTTGCGGAAAGCCGACGCCACGAAGGGTGATCCACCGTGGCGAGGAGACGGAAGCCACCAGAGGTCTGAGCGGCGTAGAATCAGGGCTGCCGGGCAACTGGGACTTAGGCCTTCTGTTGTGGGTTTACGACGTTTGCGGCTGAAGCTATGCACTCGCGTAGTGGTGACTGTGATAAGCAAGTGCAAGCAAGAAGCAGCAGTACATGAGTATCAGCAAGCCCGATGTCTGAGGAAGGAGCGCCATGCTGGTGAATTGGGGCTGCTCAAAGAGTGCGATCGGACGCCTGCGAGACTCTGGGACAGTCTGGGCGCTTTGTCTGACGCCAAACACAAGCTAATCAGGCAATACATCACAGATTCTGGAAGTGGAAGTGAACGCCGAGGGTGAGAACGCTTTCGCCCTCCAGATTTCTGAGCATCACACCGGACAGCCAAGGCCCCCACGGTGCAAGATACCACTGCACTCCGTTCGGGGAGACCTCGATGCGAAGGCTGTGCATGCCTCAGCAACAGTGCCGTCAAGCGCGCCGCGAACCCAAGTCACAGAGCACAATCTGCGGCTGTGGCTGGGGAAGACGTGGCTGCTGTTCATGGGTCCACATCTGCAAAGGAGATCTCCCCAAACCCACCATCCCCCCCCCACAAAAAAAAAAAATGAACTGGTTGCAAGAGGAAATACTGGCCTAGCCATGGTCAAGGACAGCCAGCTCAGTGGGATGGTGTAGGATCTGGCAGATGGTCCCATGGATGTGACCTCGGATTGCTGATTGCACAACGATGTCGCGTGTTCAATCTCACGTCGGGGCCCCCGGCCCTGCAAACAGATGGAGCAGACTGCATGGCAATGGCTACCTGGCGTGGGCTCCAAGATCCACCCGAAGCCTTCCCCAGAAGAGGCAGGGACGGCTCCAACTAAGGTGCCGGCAGCTGCCGGCTCGATCGTTATGTTCACCTGTGGGCTTCGTTAGGGGCGCTCCGATGAAAGCCGGCAGCAGACATGACACCAGAAAGGAGAGTCGCGACTTGCTGGCCTGGACGGCACCATCCAGAACAGCCTTAAGTTCGGGCTGTTGCCGTTTGGGGATATGGGAATCTATCAAGTGGTGGGTGCAGCGAATTCTCGATGAAGACTGACCGAATCCTGCCGAGCAGGTGCAGCACACCCAATGCAGCTCAGGCGCCACAAGGACCCCGTCGATCTCAGACGTTCTTCTTGCATATCTTGCCCTCGGTGTTTGTCGCATGCTCGTCAGGCTCAGTGTAGCAGCCGACTAGGCCATGCTGAGCCAGATGCAAGCCAGCATAGGTTTCTGTGACAAGATTGACGACCTGCAGCTTTTCGCAGCCAGGCTTGGCCATGGGCACCGATCTCTGAGGAGCCAGCTGCCACAGCTGGCTGAATGCTACTCACTCGCAGACTTGGGAGGATGGTAATCCTTGGACGGAGCAAGGCATTGGTACTGGTATCACACAGTCTGAAGAAAGGAGTCGCGTTTACCGATTGCTCACAAACCCCATGCAAGAGGCCAAGACGTCCCGCCTGCTGGAGCTGACAGGGGTCCACTCCGCTGCACGCGATGCTGAACCTCCAGTGCAGAATCTTTAGGTGCTGCTAAGGTTCCGGAGTGCCGGACACCGGTGTAGAAGACATGATGCTGGCGCTTGTGCTCAGCAGCGGATGCAGTAGCAGTAGCAGCAGTAGGAGTAGTATAGGAGTCGTAGCAGCAGCAGCAGCAGCAGCAGCAGCAGCAGCAGCAGCTGTAGCAGCAGTGGTGGCGGCAGGTAGAGCAGTAGCGGCATAAACAGCAGGAGCAGTAGCCGCCACAGTAGTCATCGTCGCTGTCCCAGCTGTAGCCGCAGGGGGAGCAGGCGTTCTAGTCTTGCAAAAGCACTTTGTACATCTTGCCAAGCCTATACAGTCAACCACTCGATGCTTCCTGTGTCGGGCGGGGCATCTACACTGGCCAGACTCGGCTAAACTTTCGAAGATATGTCTGCGAAGGCAGTCGAGTCGGAGAGCGTCTGGAAAGCAGTCGGAATCCGGACCAGAATGCTGAGGTTCGGACGCACTTCAATTTGTTGCGGGCTTGCCGGGAGCAGGAACTTGGATGCAAAGCAGCTGAAGAAGCTCGTGCTGAGCCGCGGATAGCAACAAGGCCCCAAAAAGCAGCGCAGTGCAAGTTCTCCTTTCATGAGTGGAGCAGTGCCACTTCTCACGTCAAAGTCTATAGTTGCTCTCGACTACTATAGCCGCACATTTACGATACCAGTGCTGTTCATGCCAAGGACCGGAACACAAAATCCTGCTTCTTGGATTAATCTTGCACCGAAGTTGAGCCTAAGGCTGCAACAGGATGCTTGTTCACAGGCAGGGCCTGCCCAAGCCTGGCGACGAGGTCGGATTCGGGTCTAGGGCTTGTCTATTTTGAGACACAGAAACGCACATTCAACAGTTTCGGCTTTCTCGGCCCGTCCGGGGCGAATCCAAGACCGCGCCTGAAGAACTCGATGTTCGCAGGCAAGTCGCATGTCGCTGCATCCTTCGCGACGATCCTGACAGCTCCATGCTGCCGAACAGCAGCGAGTGCTTCTGACAGCACCAAAGAATCCATAATATAGTATAGTATCATAAAGCAAAACATAGCATAGTATGATATAATATAATACCAGCTTGCTGGAAACCATGGGCCTCGTGCCGCACCTTGCGCACAGGAACACGCCAGAGAAAATACCATCAATAGGATCCGAAGAGCCAAACTTGAACAACCCGCATACGATCTTTCAGCTGGAGCCAAATTCCATTTTGCTAGGTTTTGGGAGGATCCTTCCCTCCCCGCTCTGAACCCGTAAGTCTACTTGGACGTGCTTGTTTCTTTTCCAGGCTTCTCCCTGCATGTCTCTAGGCAGCTATATAAGGGGCCATGTCTCCGGGTGATAGGCAAAATGGGGGGGGCCTCGGTTAGAATTGGAGAACATTGAACCCTAAGGAATACTGTTGTTGACTATTCCCTGAACCGTTAACCCTAAACCCCTAAACCCCTAAACCCTAAACCCTAAACCCCTAAACCCCTAAACCCTAAACCCTTGAATAACGGGCATCATCGGGGCGACTCCTAGCCTGCCAGGTATTGGCGCAGAGACGAAGTCGCTATCGAGCCTCGATCCGCAAGAGTCCGCAAGAGCATTAGTGAACCTGGAGCTGAAGGTATAGTCATGATTATGCCTTATATGGAGTCATGTGTCGTAGGACCTTCCTATGCATAAAGAGCATATACTGTGTATTATATACAACCCTATCCTATGACATAAGCCCCCCAAAACAAAGGGCGATGTAGAACGGCAAGGGGGCTTGGGTTGAAGGCTCAGGTCGAGACATGTGGGCATGTGCCACTCAACTCTGTCACCCCCTTTGCAACTCCCATGCCAGAGTCTCGAAGTTCTACGCCCTTCTAGCCCCAAATCCTCTGGAACATTTCTCAGCTGCAGCTAGACCACAGTCGACATTCAATCTGCGGTGGCGGCGGTGCCTTCTCCTGGCGTGTACAAGTGTCGAGCAGTTTGGGCCGGCACATTCGGGTAAACGTTGCAGGGTTGTCGGGGCATTTGGGCTAAGAGTTGCATGTTTGAGCATAGGCTAGCATAGAGGCAATGACTTTCTCGCTCTTGCAACTGGGTGGGGCTTGGGCTTTCGGTTGGTGCAGTTGTCCTTGTTGAAGTGTGTTACGACATTTCGGCTCCTGCGAATCTTAGGATCGCATCAAAAACCTGGGGTTCGCTAGGCCCAACACTTAATCCCTCAATACAACAATCCACGATCGGTCTTCTTCGGTTGGAGCCTGTGATATATTTATTTCTTTATTTATATTTATATTATATACTATATATTATATCTATTGTAGTGTATGTAACTATGTATGATATATTCAGGCTTCATTCAGGTTTTGGGGCCCGGGGGCCTAGGGTGTTTATGTTGAGGAGAACTAAGCAGCAAGTCCTTCCAGGGTTACAGATCCCAAGAGTCCAGGTAATGGTTTAGAGCTTCGGTGTTGGGTTCAGGATTTAGGGCTACCAGCATCAAGGGGCGCGGATGATTGGAATGTGGTATGGGGGGGTATATTATACAAGAAGTACATGCGGACGACAATGCGATATTATTGCGCATCATTCGGTACCCGGTTTTGGGAGCATCGGGATCCCGAAGCACAGCAGTCAGACCTCGCTTGCTTTCTGTCCCAACTCCCAGAGCTGGGCCTGGGCGACAGACCGCCATGCTTTCGTGAGCCTTCATGAATCCCTCAACCCTAAACTTCCTCAATCCTGAAAACCCACGGCACTAACCTCTGTGGGGTTTGAGGTTAAGTTCAGGTTTCAGCTTGTGGGGAAATATCCGAGGTGCAAGCATTTACAGCTCGCCTAGTGGGGAAGGCTGCGGTTTTATAGAGGCGTTGAGTCTTGCACAGCTCCACGAGGCTTCCACTGCCATGCCTGGGCAAGGGTTGCAGACAACTTGCCGCGGAGACCCTCTGCGTACCTTTAAGCCCAGGACGAGTGCACGTGAAGAGAGTACTCGCGATCTGCGATTCGGCACAGCAACATGGCCTACGGTCTACAAATCCAAAACAGCCAAGGCTTTCCAAAATCCACATGTTTCTCCAACCCATAGATCCGAACGAGCCTCAGGATGTAGAAGTATGTGAACGGGATAGGAATCTGAAAGACTTCCACACGAAGCAAAAGATTCCTTTTTCCGATGATCTGTCAACCAGATGGGTCCAGCACCGAAAGTGTTGTCATGCCACTCCATCCAAATGCCGCCGGCTACAATGTAATTGCAGTTGCCGTCGGCGTCGTGTACATGTAGACCACCACTGCGCAGCCCGCAAAGGTGTCATCTGCAAAGTAGTGCTCGACGGCTCTGTGCGTCCCGGCTGCCTTCACATGGGTGGCAGGATGATGCTCGTGGAAAGCAAACTCCGCCTTTGGCTGCAACGGACACTCTGTCTGGTACTGCGCCGTGCCGCAGCGTGAGAACGGGCCGCCAGCAAAGCTTGGAGACCATGTTGCTGACGCGGTCTGGTTGTAGGATTGAAACTTCTCGGTGAGATTCCGGATCGGCCGGTCAAGAAGCGAGCGGAAGCGCCGGGTGATAGTGTAGGGTTGGCCGAGCACGATCGGATCTGGCTCGTGCTTGTAGTCTATCAGCTCGATACCCCTCTCGTCTGCAAGCAGCCCGCAGTCTTGCCAGCTCAACTTTGCGGCTTGGCTTGCAAAGCTGGAGAGCCATAAGACCAGGACGCAAGCTCGAGTCATTGGATTCTCTGTCTCCCTGCCCCTGATCCCCTACCCCTGATTTATGGGAGACTTGCGAGTCGCGGCTGCAGCTTCCTTGGCCAGCTGAGCATGCAATCTGTTCAAGCCTCGACCACAACATTTCCGCCCCTTTTTTGGCAAAAACGCAGAGAATCCGAGCACCCCGGCCACTCCGCCATTCAAGACGACCATCTCCAGGTCATTCTGTCTCATGAAATCAGGCTTTGGCCTTATCAGAATCTGCTTCTCCCTCCTGATCTTGTCACAACCCGTAATAGCAGTCGAAGTAACTACTAACCACCTTTAGTGAGACTGCGCTGCACTATTGCGCACGAGTACTCGCAGTAGCTGCAGCAGCAAACAGCAGCAACTGCAGAAGTACTGTTCCGTAGTCATAGGATTAGTGCTGCGATTTAAGTTGTCGTTCTTGCCACCAATTAAGATCCTTGCTAGGACTGTGTGGCTCCATCCATTTTACCAGACTTTACCATAGAAACATCAGCAAAATAAGCTAATAAGCTAGTACCAGTCAAGTACTAGTCGTAGTAGTAGTCGTCGTACTACTACTAACACTACGACGACTACTACCACCACCACCACCACCACCACGACTACTACTGCTACTACCACCACCACCACTTGGTCATCTTTCTGGCTCCTACATTTTTCGCTCCAGTGCTTGAGTGCTTACATCGACTCTATAGAAACCTCCCTGTCCCTGGGATCTTTCAGCAGGCCGGCAAAAGGTTTAGGGTGATGCCTAAAGTCTGAACCTTTGACCCCTAGGCCTCATGCCCTAGAGTTAAGTCCAACTAGAGCTGCATGAACCCATACAATAGCCATCATGCGCAATCGTTTGAACCGCCAATAAATCTAGCCTGTAATGCTTAGTAAGCCTAAGCTGTGGATAGGCTATCAACAGTCTCAACGCTGGTGAGGCCGAGGCATTCCCAGAACCGCGGTGCCATTGCCTTAGCAAGGGTAGTTAACCAGTTGACCCTGAGCCCGCAGCTCAAAACCTTTGGGTTGTTGAACAAACGACTTCAAACCACAGACACCCGCTTTTTCGGACAGCTCGAAGGCCACTGGCCCAAGCCAAACACCACGAGTGTAAGGAGTGTACCTGATGCCAAGGCGACCTGAGTTTGTCAGGAATCACAAGATGTCGTGGAGGAATGGAAAACGATGGCGAGTGCAGTTTCTCAGATTCCGCAAGATACGAGAATCCCCGCGTCTGGCAGCTCCAAATGATTCAAACATCTTCATCTGATGTTCATGAGAACCGTGCGACACTGACATTCCCCGCATCTCCACAGCTGCAGGGTTGCTGCTATTCGCCGTTGATTGCCTACTCTCCGGAACCGGCAACTGAGCCAGTGCATAGTAACCTGTAACATTGCATGAAGTCCGGCCCACTCTTGCTTTGTACAATAGGACCTCGCTCATGAGAGGCTTAAGCCCCACCTGCGAAGCAACTTCAACTTGCTCTTGGTTCTACACAAGCTCAGGTTCATGCAGCCCAGGTAAGCTGCGCTGTCGCAAGCGACAACACCCGGACAGTGCCGTCGTCTCCGCCTGAGCCAGCCAGGCATTGATTCCCAAACGTGAAACCTTCAGATCTTGAGGGGAAGCACACTCATTCGGAATGGGGAATGGCGCTTGCGTCTTGCTTGCTCAAGCTGGAACTTGAAGCTTTGAGCCACCTCTGCTGCTTTCGTACTTACTTTATGCACAAGCCGTTGCAGAGCATCGTGGCCAGCATCGGCTGTTCGGCATCTTCGCTGTTCTCAATCAACCTTGTCATGTCCTTCGGGTCTCTCTGGGGCCAATGACTGCAGTAGAGGCAGCCTGGACCAAAGCCGACCTGGAGAACCTGTCAGCCAGACGAGGAGTCTCCATCGACGTAAGCTTCGCAGTCTTTGCCATGCGTGCATGTATGATAAGCTACACATGCTGACGGCGGGCGCTTCCGTCCATGCCCCCCCCCCCCCCGTACACAGAATGCGGCCTCCTTGATGCGACAATTCCAGAGGGGTCGCATAAGCTGCAGTGCGGCGGTAGGCAGCGCGCCTGCGGCTCAGGCTGGAAGCCTAGAGGACT